TTAATTTACAATACCAAATTATTCCTGCTAGTATTATAAATTCTCAAAATAATGGATATAGGAGTTATTTTGAGTTTTGGCCTGAATTAAGCTTAATTTAGGCCAAATTTTGTAATTTTACCCCTGGGCATTATTTTAAGAATATACGGTATATGTTATGATCATAATCCAATACTATTTTTATTATAATAAAATGGTGTTTGAATTATAATTATAATTTTTTCATATATTACACACTAGCTGAAGGATTAGTCATATGATATCGACAGTTCCTTCTGTTATTAAATCTCTATATATCTATCATATTTTTTTAAATAGATCCAGAGATTTGGATACAAGATACATTTATAGTAAGCAATTATAAGTAATGGAGAAAAAATAATTTTATTTAGATAATGTTATTTTGAGCAATTCTAGGTGTATCCTTTTTTTTAATTTATTCATGAATACTATAGATTTTATATATTAAAAATTTAAAAAAAATAAATAATTCTAAATTTTCATTACCCCAAATTTTATTTCATTTAATGTGTTGTATTACTTTTGATTGTATGTAATGCAACACAATATTAAACTATAAAAAAAATTGTTTATATATAAAAAAAAACTTTTTTCTATTTTAATCCTTTTGGCCTCTATTATCACTACAAGCTTTAATAATATTACAAACATATTAAGACATGGATCGAATCAGGTCAGTGTAGATTTTAATGCTAATTTGTTCCAAAATTACCTAGATCTTGTTTCACAGATCTTCTTTATCTAAAATTTGTTCAGGAAGATTTCTAAGTTGACTGTCAACCTCATTCTACAAATGTTCAATGGGGTTAAGATCAGGGAACTGGGGGCCAATCTAGCACTCTAACCTAATTATTTCCTAACCAACACATTACCAACTTTACAATATGTTTAAGATTATTGTCTTGCTAGAAAATAACATTGCAAAGATCAAACTCATGATCCCTAACTGTATCCAAAAATCTTTGTAAAGTATTTGCTAATAAAACTCACTATCTATGTTGCTTTTGATTTAGCAAAAACTACCAACACCATGAGACATAAAATAGCCCCAAATCATTACAGAACCACCTCTGTACTTCACTATAGGCTTAATGTGGAAGTTGTTTAATAGTTTACCAGGATGCTTCCAAAAGTATTGCTTGCTATCTCAATTTCAACCTTCCTAATTAGTCCTTAATTACATACTATATTCTATTGTTACCTATTTTCATACTATTACACTCTCCTATCTACTTCCTGCAGCAACCTTATAATTCTCCCAAATTGGTTCATTCTGGCAATTTGTCGCTCTTCTTGCTCCCATATTGGTGTACACAGCCTTCCCTATATATTGATACCTTACAGCACGACTGGATTTATCAAATCTCCAGTTGTTATTTGCAGTATACTACCTACTTTATACAATGCTTCCATAGTTGGTATAATTGACTGTAGCATGGACGCCGAAGCTTCCCATTATAACTTATATTATATGGGTATACTACTGACGATTGTTTTACTTCCAGCTTGGTAATGCAAGGGCACCTGGAACCTTGACTTATAGCGCATCAGTATGGCACCTATCATCGACGTTGTGATATGCAGTGTTTCCTTATTAGTTTTCTAATTTTCCAATCTTGTATGCCAGAGGTGTTCCTTTATTTAGTAAAGTCATCCTCTTATCACAGCCCCTTACTGTATTCGCCACTTCTCTTACCATTTCCAGATATGCTGCATTTAGCTGTCCTCCCAATCAAGATCCCCAAGACTGCCTTAGGGTTGTTGGTGCTATCTAGCCAATTGAGGATTTACATGCACAGCCTTATGCAGTATTACTTTTTGTGACGCCATGTCACACGTAGTGCCAGTCTTCTCTACAGCTCAGGACTCCTTCCAAGAATTCTTTATAGATCAAATAAGTATTTCACATGGTCTTATCATCACAGGGTTTTGCATTCGAAAGCTCCCGTAGGTTACAGAGATAATTAATTAAATTAATTACCACCAGCTGTAATCAAACCGTTGACCTCGTCTGTGGAGGGTTAGGCACCTAGACCACTAGGCTATGGGACCCTAACTCTGAGATTTGTATTTATAAAGATTCGTATTTGAGATTTTATAGTTATTTTAGTTTAAAAAGTATTGCAATCTTAAATTGATAGGTTTTTAGTAGCAGCTACTTTTTTTTATAGCAGCAAAGAGTCGTTTGCTAGTTTAGAGTATATATTATATTTTTGATTAATAGAGTATTTATACTGTAGTTTTAAATATATGCTAATAAAATTAGAACACTTTTTGATTTTTTGGCACTATAACAAAAGAAAGAATATTTTTGTATAAGATAATTGTATAATTTATTAATAATTTAATAATGAGGATGCATTAATATGATTTTTATATTTCAGAAAAATTAAATTTGAAATTTGAAATATTTGGACTAAGCCAGCTTTTTTATAATATATGCATTAGTATATGAGTTTGAATTATGTAATATATTGTGAATTAGTAAATTTTATTGTAGTTTTAGATATATATTAGTAAAGGTAGAATTTTTTGAGTTCAAAAAAAAATCCAAGATTTTAAATAAGGAAATTTAAAATGTACTTATACTACATGATGAACCAATCAGCACTCTGGTTAACAAACCAACCCAAACTAAACAGTAAAGTCAGTAATAAGGCGAAGCTTTACAACAGAAATATACAAGATTTTTAAATTTAGTATATAATTTTTACAACTGTATCTGGCATGGGCTATAATAGTGTTTTTATAGATTGTTTTTTTCTGCCTTTTTCTTCTTGTTTTATTTTTTCTTTTTGTTTGTTTTTTTGTTGCTTAGGCAGTTTTTTTTCTTTCCTTCTTTTGTATTGTCCTCTTTATTTTTAGTATTAGTACTTTTTTTTTTATAAGTTAGTTAAAGACTATGAATCCTTTTGCTCGTGAAGCTAGGGAAAGAAGGTTTAGAAAAATTGGCAGTCTTAATAGACCTAAATACCATTCAGTGATATATCAAAGAATTCATTTGTAGGTTTTTTGATATGAAGATAAACTTTACTATAGCAGATCAAACATGGATAATTTGGGTACTTTGGTATTACAATAAGCCAGATTAGCCGAAACTTGTAATTTAGATGGTGCTTTAGTTTACTTTAGCAAAAATGATATTTTATCCATGAGTTAAATATTTTAGTCTAATAAAGTTGAGACAAGATTGCTAAATTTATATAAAAAAAAAATAATAAAGAAAACTTAAATAAATTTCATTTTTTATAGAGAGCATAGTTGTTATATCATTTTGTTATATAAGGAAGATGAAGTATTGTGAACATGGGGGTATTGTGGTTAGGTAAGAATATCTTGCGATAATTTAATTCTGATTACTGGATTGCAAGATATTCTTATCTGACCACAATATCTCTCATATTCACAATACCTTCATCTCCTTTATGATATATTATGAATTAGTAAAATATTTTATTGCGGTTCTAGATATGTAGTTATAATAATAAAAATACATTTTTTTAATTATAACAAAAGAGGAAGATATTCATTTTATAGATATAAATATATAATATATTATATTAATATTAAAAGAAGTTAATTTGAATTTCATTATTTAAAAAATTGATATTCTAATATAAGGATATTTTAGTGCAGTGCTACATTTTTTATACTATGTGATTAGTCTTAATTTTGAGTTATATAATATATTATTTATTAAATTGTTGATTTGTCTTTAGATTTACTATGATATAGATTATAATCTAATATAATTCACATAGAAATCTGTCTAAAGATAGTTTAATAATATTGGAAGTTTTTTATTATTATTAATTTTATAAGTTTGAAAACTCAATATATTTTTAGGTCGTATAATAAGTAAGGTTAATTGTGAGTTTTATATTATAGTCAGATGTTTCTAAGTACATACTCTCTAAGTGTATAGTATATAAAAATTATTTTAATTTGTATAGCTCCACTTTGCTTTAAGTGTAAGTTTTGTATTTTTTTTACTATAGTAAGAGGACTGTGTACTTAGAATGAAGAGATTGGATGTAGAAAATTGTAATTTTAATTTGGTAGGATTTTATCATAATATTATATGGTTTATTAAGAATATAATTAATATATAAATTTGAGTTTTTGATATTTGAAAGACTAGTTAAGATTTATACTGCAAGTACAGATATGCGTTTATTAATTAATAATAACATAACATTTTTCCTTTTTAAGTATAGAAGAGAGATGGGTATTAGTTAGATAGCTATAGATGAATATTATATTGAATATAGTAGAGAAGATTAGATTTGAATAGTGATGTTTTATGTTACTTTTTTCATAATGTGTATATAAAGATATGTTTATATGCGAGATGTCGATATCATATTTGCATGAATTAATTATTTAATTTGTAGGGAATAAAATTTTAATAAAATTTTATAATTAATCTATAAGATTGTTATATATTTTGCACAATATAACATTTTTTAAAAAATTTTGTTTATAGGCAATCTATAGTAATTCTGCGGTTGCTGCTTCGCAGAATAGATAATACGAAAATGGTTTCTAAGATTATAACCTTCATTATTCATTAATTATGGAGCGAGAAACGAAATAACAATATTTTTATTATAGTTTTATTGGTTATAAGATGGATCGTTCTACGTTTTAAAGCTTCGAGCATTAAAAATAGTGCTATTTTTTAGATCGGTTAGGAATTCATTGCTCATAAATGTTTGATATGCAAAAAATGCAGGAATGTAAAAGTAATACTTGAGCAACCTTTGTCAATGGTAAATTTTTGAGGAAAAAATTAATTTATACATTTCCGACTAATTAAAAATCTACCTCCGATTCATTGAACGAGATGCTTGAGAACACCCTCTTTCATAACTTTTTTACTAAAAATAGATACTGATGCTAACCGAAATAAGGGTAGTTCTTTATTAATTCTTTATATAAGTAGCACGAATTGAAAGAGCTTTTTTTTATGTTAAAAAATGTCATTTTCTTTGACTGCGTCAAATCCTACCGTGGTAAAAACTTCAAAGGGCGAAGATAAAATAATTTGCGTAGAATTTAAAGTGCCAGAATATAACCGAGATGCATCTTTTAGTCTTGCAAAATATTCTTTTCGTGCAAAATCAGAAAATCCCGATATTGATGAAGGATGGATTGTTTATAGAAATGATGAAAGTTTTCTAACTGTTGGGAAAGGATATGTGGTCGTTAAAGGGAAATATTGTGGTATTTGCTCAACTGATTTGGCTAGACGATTTTTGCCTTTCGAATTGCCACAGGTAAAATGTATTCAATTAAAATTTGCTCTAAAAAAAAAAAAGGTTTAAATTTTATTTATTTATCAGATTATCGGGCATGAAGCTGTTGCTATACACCAATCTAAACCCGTTGTAATAGAAATTAACGCATCACATTTTGCTCGTGGCATTACAAATGAATCAACTTGTCCTTTTTGTAACAATGGATTGTCCACTCAATGTCCAGATCGTGTATGTTTTGTGCTACATTCATTTTGAGTTAATGTTGATAAATCCTTTCACTTTTCAGATAACTTTGGGAATAAATCAACAACCTGGTGGTTTGGCTCCTTATATCCTTGCACCTATAAATGCCATTGTACCAATTCCTGATAATTTAGGTTTAAAAGCATCGATATTAGTGGAACCTTTTGCAGCCGCTCTACATGTATATATTTTCTATATTGCTTGATAAATTATTAAATGCATAGTGTTATATAATATTTTCTTTTTTTAAGGCTGTTGAAACAACACCGCCAAGTAATGGTCATGAGGTTGCTGTCTTGGGACCTCGTAAATTAGGAATATTAATTCTTGCGGCTTTATATAGTATGATAATCTATTGTAATATTGGTTAAATTTAATGACCTAATATTAACCTTTTTTTTTCAAATCTTACAAGGTTATCGAAAAAAATACAATATTGATTTTACTACAACGGCTATTTTTCATAAAGATCCACCACCACAACCACTTTCTGATCTTGCGCAACAATTTGATGCACAAATTACCACATCATCATCTTTGTTTCCCGACCAAAAATTTGATATTATCTTTGACACCACAGGTTCCCCGGAAGGTTTCTTACACGCGATAAAGCTATGTAAAAAAATTCTTCATTTGAAATCAACTCATGGACGAGAAGTTTGTGGAGTGAGACGAATGACAGATCTTGTGGTTGAAGAATTCTCATTGTTAAGATTTGAACAAAAGAGTTTAGGGTTCAGTTGGCCTGGAGAAATTTTAGGCAAACGAAGGAATCCTAACGTTTTCGTTAGCCCATCTGTTGATGAAAAGGTTGTTAAATCGATTAAAGATACTGGAAGGAACGTGATTATTCTGGAAATCACACATGCTCTAGAATACGTTAAGCAATGGATCGAACAGTCAAGATCAGGAAAAATTGAGGATGAAAACTTGACAAAGTCACCGGTACCAAGATTTGATTTGGCTGTTGTTGGTAAAATTGAGGAGGTTGATTCTATTATAAGACCTAATGATAGCGAGGTAAGCCTACGCATGTAATGATTGACTCCATCTATCTTTTTTTTATTAAAATAAAATAAACCTTTTATTTCCTTATTAATTTATAATTTAAGGAAATTTCTATCCTTCGTCCTCGCGGAGCCATTCTTTACGCACCATCTTTATCAGTGAAAGAAGATAATATATCAAAAGAAATGAATCTACTTAAGAAAGCGCTTCAAGAAGATAATATTCAAATTTGGTCAACTAGATGTGGTAATCTTTCAAATTCTATAGAAATGTTATCTTCAAACGAGAATATTACTAAAATTTTAGAAGAAAAAATGATATCAAGAGAGATAAAATTACAAGATATCAGAGATGGATTTAGTCTTGCAGCTAGTGAAAATATTATTAAAGTTGTTGTAGATGTTGAGTGTTGATAGCATTAAGTTCAATAAAAATTTATAACGTATAATTTGAATTTTCGATTGAATGTAATGTGCGTACTTTTTTTGTGATTACCGTATTGACGCGTAATAACGCATGGACGTTATTTCGGAACTCCCATTTTTTTGAAAATTGTTTATTTGACTCAAAATAACGCCCATGCGCGTCCCAAAATAACGCACCCCTTAAATGTGCCATATTACGAATTTTTCAGGCTAAACTCATTATTAAAAGTAGGACTTCCTCTTGTAACCCAAATTTGTCAAAATGATTCGAATTACCACCACGCGCAGGGTCTCGAAATAACGCGCAGATGCGCGTTATTACGTGCCAATACGGTACAGAATTTATTATGCTGGTTCATCTTGTGTTAAGTTTAAATGCGAGGTTGAATTAAAAACGTTGATCCCTAATCGAAAAGAACAGAAATTCAAGAAAAAGTTGGTTTGTATTTCTGTTCTAAAGGATTTACTTCTAACAACCCATCTTAAATGTAGCAAAGATTTTTTAAAGTTATGTAAAGTGATAGTGACTCAGAAATATATATATATATATATATAAGTGAAGACAACAAAGGAAATGCATCAGTTGTTAAAATTCTTTCGATTAAGCAATGATTATATTAAATTTAATTCCGACAGTCAACATTCTGTCAAGTCCTTCAAATTTGAAAACTGAGTTTGAAGATCACATTAAAGTTTAAACAGAAGTTATGTTCGAATTTCAAACTCAATTTCAAACTCAGTTTAATGTTAAAAAAATTAGGACCATGACTCTTGCTAGTTATTAAACAAGAGGAGTCTTCTCGTTGTGTCTCTAATAGTGCTTCAGAATGTTGGCAGTATCAAGAATGAATAGTACTTGAAATTGGTTAAATGTCAAGGGAATTACTAGAATTAAAAAAAGTTGACTAGGATCAACTGGAGAATTGGAGAATATGACAGTTCCTAGTGTTGTAAGCCGATTAGAGGCTAGTCGGCTTAGTCGACAAACTAAAAATTTATTGGTCGAAGTTCGACTATTGTTTAGTATCGAAAAAAAGAAGTCGAGTAACAATATCCTGAACTTGTCCCTTAATGGCTTGGTCGACTAAGCTGACGACTTAGTCGATGACTCAGTCAGTCGACTGTTAGTCGATCGGCTAACAACACTAACAGTTCCAGTAAACGTAAGTTGTCACTAGACCTTTGATTCATCTTTTTATTAATGGTTAGTGTGACGAGAAATGATTTACTCTAAAAATTATTTAAACAATTGTTATTCATTTTATTAAAAATAGCTTGTATTATGAATTACCATAAATTCTCAAAATAACGTTATTACGAAAATTGCGCCCCTAAAAATAGCATAGTTAGTTTCGAAATAATACCCATGCGCGTCCCAAAATAACACCTCATGTAGCATATGTATGAATTTATAATATATAGTAATAATCAAAGTTTGAAATTGACCCTTTTATCTCGAGATAACGCACATGGGCGTATTCAAAAAACGCGCGGGTGATCGAAATAATGCGCAGATGCACGTTATTTTGAGAACTTGATTTTTTTTAATTAGTAAAATTTTAATTTTAGTTAATAATAGAACTTAATTCTCACAAACTCCACTTAATTATTGTGAAATATATAAATATAAGTATACAATATTTATTAATATATATATATATATATATATATATTTATATATATATTTAATTATACGTATTATGGCTTGCCTAGACATGAATTTTGCTAATAGCATGAATGGCCAAATTATTATTTCCCGGATTGTAACTAGCGATGGGAATTTCTAATTATTAACATTAACAATTGTTAACGAATTGTTAACTATATAAATCCTTTAACAATTAACAATTTATATGGGGCCTTTTCAAAGTGTATTTACTAGTAGATTTGTAGGTACGAATTTTGTATTATTAACCTATGCGCGTGCACTAACATAAAAAATATATTATGAGAGCTTCTAAATTTATTCCATCGCATAATATATTTTTTATTTTACTTCCAAGTTAGTGC